TATTTAATTAATTTGTTTGTTTGTTTTTCGAGACAAGGTTTCTCTGTGGCTTTAGAACTTGCCCTGAAACTAGCTCTTGTAGACTAGGCTGGCCTCTAACTCACAGAGATCCACATGCCTCTGCCTCCCAAGTGCTGGGATTAAAGGCGTGCGCCACCACTGCCTGGCTTCATAGTATATTTTAATGCTGAAATTTTGGTTCTGGTCTAAAAGATAAGTCAATAATTTGATATACTGGCTTTTAAAAAAAAACTTTTCCAAAATTAAAGACTATTTATCATATTGGTTGAAGGTCATGCAGATTAAGCTCATTTTCCATTTGGCAATTATTGAGACTCATTTTTTTAAAGCAAACTAAAATACACTCTGAATGAGATCATTGAAGTCCTATTCTAAATGCTTTAAATGTCTTTGTAACTGATAAAAGACAAATTACAGCACACAGACACTTAAATAGTGCGGCACTTCCCTACGGGCTCTCACACCCCAACATTTAAGACACCCTTTTTACTGATCTCAGCGGTTTCATCGCTGCATCCTGCAAAATAAAAGCATGGAAAGAGGTTTTAGTGATCAGGTCAAGAACATGGACTTCAGGTATTTAATCTATCTGATTATTCTATCAGGAGCACCAACCCAGAAATTTAAATATAGGTGGTCCCAATTCATGTAATTTGGGACCTTTTTATTGGATGTTGTAGAAGTGAATTGTCTGTGTTCAGTGAAACCCACACATCGTTTAGATTTTGAGATTTGGTCTTCCCTTGACCTCGTGATAATGACATACTTTCCTGTTATATTAGGGTGCAGAAAGCTGTAACACACACTCACAAACCAACATGATCAGAGTAAACAGAACATACTCTGTAGTGTGTACCATTCAATGAGTAATTGGGAGGATTAATGCTACTGAGCAACCTACTTCAAAAGAGTACCTTTATCCAGTTTAGCAGCACAAAACTGAAACATTAAATTCTCACTTGCTCATCAAGTTTGGTATGAGACAGGGTCTTGCTATGTAGACTGAGTAGGCCCTGAACTCAGTTGTCCTCCTGCCTCAGTTCCCCAAGTGCTGGAATTACAGACATGCAATACCATACTTGGTTTTGCTCATTAATATTTGAGACAGTCTTTAGCAGTAGGATACCTTGATTCCTGAGGGACAAAGATTGATTTTTAAACAGCACATACAGGATGCAGGCCACACAGTCCATATGGTTTGCTTTCCCACAAACATCACAACCTCAGTCCTGGTAAACTAGAATATTCAAATACTACAGAGTGAGGAGAAAGGCTCCATAGATAAGGCCAGGAGGACCCCACCCAGTCCTTCTTTCTTGCAAAGGTGTGACCCAGGATGGAGGACATCTCTGAGCTCTAACTGTCATGAGACTCAGTGGCAGCAGAGGCAGGGCTAGCTGAAGGGACATTGGGCTCGCTGAAATGCAGCTGAGGACTTGTGAAAACAGGATGGCTGGCTTATGAGTGAGGTCTCGCATTCCATAGGTGATGGGGGAGAGCAGAAGGGCTCAGGACAGAAAGACATACAGTAGAAGTGGGGACGGATTCACCGCAGCATGAAATCCAGTGTTTGACATTTGTGCCCATATGATGGATCTTAAAAGACCCAGAGTAGTGTTTCAGCTCTTGAGTCCTTGATCGCTCTCTCAGTAGTCATAGAAAGGAAGAAAATTACCACAAGTTGAGGCCAGTGAGAAATATACAGCAAGAGCTTGTAAAACAAACAAGCAAGCAAATACTAAAACTACATAAGCCTTTTGACTTCAGGAGTAAGCTATATGGTTATCAAGCTTTAAAAGCAAGGCATACTTCTGGATACTTCCTCATTCCATGACCCTACCTGAGACCCTGTAGTACCTGACCTTAAGTATTTCTTCACATAATGTGCACGTATTAAATATGTTCCCAAGCCAAGCCTATAATCCAGACCTAGTACACACTCTTTGCTAGTTTTCTGAAGTCTCCAGATGATCCCAGTTTGCTGACAGGTTTGGGAAAGACTGCCTTCACAAACTGGTTCCGAGGTAAACTTCTGTCCCTTCTTCCCCTCTCAGGTCCCAGGGGATGTCTAATGTTCTCCCTAAAGGTGTCAGGCCTTTGCAGTATTCCTCCAGAGTGACTCTATCTCAGCACTGAGGATGCTGCAACTGTTTAGCTTTCTGCCTGTCCTCCCCATCTGCTCTAAGATGCAGGAATGAATTTTTATCTTTGACTCCCAGGGCTAACCCTATGCCCCAGTGTTGGGAATACTTATCACACCCATGGAATAGATCCAAAGAAAAACAAAACTAAAAACGTGTCATGCTGATATTTAAATGCTTTGGAAAAAGTGATAATTTAAGATGCTCAGAATGTGTCACTGGTGACGTATTACACATTAGAGAAACATCTCATTGTACCAGTGAAAATAAACGAGATCTCAAGATTGAAGGAGAAAACCAGACTGCACACAGAACTACATTCCTATCGTAACGAGCACATTAAAAACCATATCCTGTGATGATCAGAAGCATCCTTTCTCAGTCCCCTTTCTGTCTTTAGGGCTCTGTGTGTTGCTTCCAAGGCAACGGTTGGCATTTTATGTCGTAGGGGTTTATAAAACTGATTTAGAAAGTTTGAAGTAGTTTACAAAATGTGTTATGAAAGAGTGGGTTACTGTGCAGTTCCTCGCTGTTAAAATATGGCCATTACAATTCAGAAAAAAATATTCACATAATAAATTTTAAGACAATCTAATTCTGGGCAATAAATCCACTCTTAAACATTTTTTTAAACCTATTTAAAATATTTTGCTCTTTGGGTTGCCTAATTGTTTCAATAATTGCAGTTATGTTTCACAGTCTAACAATATGTTGTTTTCTTTTTTCTCTGCTAAGTTTTGATACATGAAACCTGAAAATGAACTAGATTTAGGAATTTTTTCCTAAGACAGTAATATGTTTCTCATTTATCATATACAATAAATGCTGGTTTGTCTCATTAAACACTGGTTACATTATTACCCAACTAATACCCAATACATACCCATCCTGAGTAAGTATAAAATGTGAGAAGAACAAGTCGTCTGCTCACGTGCTCCCGGGGAAGTCAGAGACTTTGGGGTGTTGGTTTTCTCCTTCCATCAGAGGGTACTGTAGTCAGGCTTGGCCACCAGTGCCTTACTGATAAAGCCACCTCTCTGACCCCATTATCTACTTTAAATGCAATACAAGACATCATGATTCACTACTGTTAACTAGTATTTTATATTAGCATAACAGTAAGTAAAAGCTTTTATTGAAACACACTTTTCGTTCTGCTTTCCATAAACAGGTCACAACTGTAGGCTCTAAGTGTAATTTTCGTAGAAACTGCCTAAGAAAAGGTAAGTGATCACAATCCTTAATTTTCATACTAACAGGAAAGGCTTTTGAGGGGGGTGTGCTGTTTCATTTTTATGTCAACTTGACATAGATGAGAGTCATTTGGGAAGACAGAACTCAATTGAGAAAATGCCCCCAACCACATTGGCCTTTGGTGGATTTTCTTGATAGATGGTCCAGCTCACATGTGTGTGTGTTGGGGGGTGGAGGTGCCACCCCTGGGTTGGTGGTCCTGGATACTCTAAGGAAGCAAGCTGAGCCAAGCCAGTAAGCAGCACTCATCCAAGGCCTTTTGCATCAGCTCCTGACACCAGGTTCCTGCTCTTTCCGTGATGGGGAGTGGCCTGAGAGTTGGAAGCTGAAATAAAATCCTTTACTTTTGGTAATAGTGTTTAATCACAGAAATAGAAACGATAATTAAGACAGAAGTTAACTGTTCCAAGCATCTGTAAGGAACCCTAAATTGACCATCTTTGGCTATGCAAACAAGTCACACAGATAAGGCACGTCTATTCAGTCAATAACAGAGAGCTTTATATAATTATGTATGGATCGAAAGACGAGGACAATTTCAAAGCTAGATTCTACCGGTATCAACTGTTCTTTCATGGGTCTCTGCACCTACCTGGCAAAACCAGACACACAGACCGCCCCCTTATTACAGCAGCAATGCCCACAGAACCCAGGTGTAGTTCTGTGGGTGGCAAGGCTCGTGGCCAGTTGGGGTCGCTCTCTCTAACCTGCCAGGCACCGCTGCAGGGCTAGATAGTTGCCGAACAAAGTGGACTTCACTTCTCTACCTGACAACTAAGGCAGGCAATGGAACCTCCAAGCCCTGCTGGGGTCTTTGGGGCCAATGAAGTCATTTCTTGCTGCCTCCTGTATTACTCGCCGCTGCGCGAGCCAGCTTCACCTGGGGCGAACATCATTTTGAGGGTCACAGGCAGAGGCTGTGTCAACTGGAAGAGACAGACTAAGCGGGGGCGGAGGGGTTTGGGCCGCGCCCACATCCTGCTTGCAGGATAAAGCTATGAGGGTTAGGTGGGAGCAGCGGGACAGGAGGGGACCGAGGAGTCACGAAGCCGCCTCCATTGGGGACCGCCTCCTCTCGGAGTGGCCGCCCCTGTTTATTCCTAATTATCAAGCGAGAACTCAGGTTAAACAGCCACCCACAGGTAACCCGTCTGGGCCTCCGAGGATGCACCAAGGGGGCTGGGGATGCGGAGGCGAGCGGAGAAGTGGACCATTCAGACGGAGGGGGGAGCCGACAGTCTACCCTCGTGCCCTGGCATCCGTCGTACAGGGAAAAGGCGTGCAAAGACAGAGTCCACTCTATTGCATTTGAGCCTGGCTCGGTTATCCGGGGCTCAGAGGAGGGACGGCTCTCTCCCGCATTCCCTCGCCCCCAGCTCGCCTCACCCCTCCGCGGGATTGTTGGTTAGGTCCGGGGCGGGGCGGGGAGGGCAGCCTCCACGTGCGGCCGCGATCCCGAGCTTTCGGCTTCTTCCGCTGTTCGGCCTCCGCCTCCAACTCGGGGAGGGGCGGGGCCTCGGGCAAAGTGGGGCGTGTCTTAGGCGGGGGCTCGAGGGGGCGGAGCGGAAGGCGGGGGCGGGGGGCGGGGCAGTTGCAGCGTTGGTCTGGCGGCGGCAGAGGGGCTGGGAGCAGCGAGAAGGCTCGGTGCCGCTGGAGCAGACGCCGGTTCGGAGTCGGACGCCTGGCGCTGGCGACTTTGGAGGTACGTGCGGGAGCGGGCGCGGGCCTGCTGGCCCCCTTTCTGGGACGGTGCACCCCGGCCGCCGCTGTGCCCCCTGCTGGTCTAAAGTGCGATTTCCCCGCAGTGCTGCTCTCGGCTTCTTTCTTCTCTCTCACGGGGCTCTCTGGGCGTCGGGCACCGGGCGGGCAGGTCGTCTCTCCGCGAGTCGGAGCTCGCCCAGGCCGGGACCCGGGGCAGCCGCGGCCGCGAGGGAGGCGAAGAGCTGGGGGTGCCCGGCTCTGCGATCCTGAGCCCCCAATCTCCGAGACCCCGGTTCGTGGGGCTCCTGTTTGTAGCGCCCCGTCTGACTAGCTGGGACCAGTCGTGAACCGGGTGTTTCCGAGCGCTGTGCAGGATTGCCTGTTACGCGCGAAGGCCGGGCTGCCGGCTTTGGGAAGGCAGCACCCCAGCGCGGCCGTCCGGGGTCCCCGCAATTGCCTAGTGTGGGAAGCCCCTGAAGGGGGCCTCAGGGATACACGAGCGGGGGGTGCGGCCTGTAGAATTTGGGTTTCTGGAAGAACTTAACACGGCCAAGCAAAGGAGACCACTAGCCTCTTTTGAGCCGGGAAGGCGGGGACGCGGACATCTGGGGGCCACCCCTGAGAGGTCTACAGGATTAAAACAACACTTGGAGTTCCAGGATGACTTAGCCTAATGGTGGGGCGCTTTCTTAAAGGCGGGGATAGATGGAAAGCTGTCAAAACAAGCACATTTAAAGTTAAAATAAAAGCTGGCACGATTTTCAGACCGTGCCGTTGTGTGGCTGGTGTCGGAAGAAGAAATATTACCTCATTGGCCCCCTTACACCTTTTTTGGTTTTGTTTATTTATTTATTTAAGCAGCCGGTCTATTTTGCCTGCATTGCCCTCGGGAGCTGTGTGGTGCCCACAGCGGGGAAAGAAAACTTGCGCAAAGGTTCTCGGCACTTCTGAATGTGGAGGGAAAGTGTACCTTGCCGGATTTTCCACGCACGATTCCCTCCTTTCTTTGGACCTGGTGATGTTTGTTCACTGGTTTTCTAAGCGTCTACTTACATTTAGTTTTTACACGAAATCCCCCCTGTTGCCACAGGGTGTAGTTTGGGGATTAGAGAATGCTTTTGGAGAAAGCTGCTAGTGGCTTCATTTTCCAAGAATGTAAGTCATTTCCTTTCTGTGGTTTCAGGGAGTTGATGTTTCACAGCATCAAAACTCTGTGGGGAAAATTTTCCGTAATACATCTGTCATTTAAAAGACTTGTGACTTTTGGGTTTTCTCCTTAAGAACAGTGCATAAATTCAGGCCCAGCATTGTTAAAGGGACAAGAAGGCTTCTTGGTTTTTTGTTTTGTTTTGTTTGCTTTCTTTATCCCGAATCTAGGGTATTGTGACTGCTGTAGAAAGTTTTAACAACCAAGACCTACAAATGGCTTGCAGGATGGAGAGTGGGGGAGGGGAGGGGAGCAGAAAGGGACAGGAAAACAGATGCCTTTTGCCCCGGTCCTTTGTAGTAAAACTCCTAGCACCTAATCATTTTCTTTGGGTGTGGTTTTAAGAAATTACCGTTTTACGTTAAAACTGAGAATGCTCCACAGTTGGAGGCAGGTGACATGGAAATGTGGGGGGGGGGGTTTGAGGGAGCTATGTTTGTAAACACACTGACTTCATATTTCATAGTAAAGTAGACCTTAGGTGGGATTATTAGATGGAAGGGGTCCTCCAGGGGATATCCCGTATCAAGTTATCTGCAGGATATCTTCTCCGGAAAGTGGGCTGACTCTAATCAGAATTCGTTCCCCGCCGGTTTTGAGTTGCTTGTAGAATACCCGTGATTTGACCCTGATGGGCAGTTCTTGCAGGGCTCAAAACCTTCTGACACAGGACAGATCTTTCTGGCTTCTTTGTCCCTTCCTTTTTGGATCTAACAGGGGTAAGACCCCAGCTTTGAGGACACAATCTGCGTGTAGATTTCAGATACCCCTGGCTTCACAGGAAAATGCCTGCAAGCAACCTGGGCAGGCTCCTGAGGCCCTGCTTTGAAGGCAACATGCCAGTGTGCTATAGGTTTTTAAAAATCTGTCATTCAGTTGGGCTGGCTGAATTGGGGGCTGTTGAAGACCCTTCCACATTTAACTATGCTTATAAAGAACATTTGGCTTTCAGAACTTATGACATAATGGGCCGTGTAGCCTTTTGTGGCAGTTGCTTGGAATGCAAGTTTCAAATAGAATTGTTTTTAACTGAGCTGTCAGGTTTAAGAGTTTTGTGTAAATGACTCCTGCCTCACAACAAACTCTCTGATAAAGGAATTCTTTGTAGTTTTCAACTTGGATGTTATACATTTTGATCTCCAAAGCTGTGTGTGTGTGTGTGTGTGTGTGTGTTTAAATGAAGCCTGCAAACAATTATTTTGTTACGTGAAAGCCAGTACCAAGAAAAGATTAATTCAGTCCAGATGTAAAAAATGTATGTGAATTTTAGATTTGGATGATCTCAACAAGTTTTCCTTTTGTGGATGAGACTGCCTGGATCCCAGATGGCATCCACAAATTATCCCATAGGCCTGTTTCTGAATTGAGGACCGAATTTCATGGGCTTTCTCCAAAGTCACTTTAATGCTATTTTAAATCTCGAGAATAGAAAGCTTTCTGAACCATAGCAGGGCGGGAGCTTGTTATTCCCACAGAAGCCTGCAGGGTCCCAGCGCAGGACATGCAGTCTGTTCCTTAGTGTAAAAACAGGAGGTAGAGAGCATGTGGGCTAGCCTTCAAAGGTTTCCTTTAGTTACCTGAGTCCAGCTTTCCTTTAACAGAAAAAGAAGTTTCAGGTGTTTCATTAGGGTCCCGCGATAAGGGCTTGTCTTGTGGTTTCAAGTTTCTTTGGGTCTTGTTTGACTAGCCTTAACCTTCTGCCCCCTTCTGAGTCTGAACAAGTAGTTTAAAAGAGAAAGAAGATTGATCTATTTGTTTGTTTGTTTGTTTTTTCAAGACTGGGTTTCTCTGTGTAACAGCTTTGGCTGTCTTAGAGCTCGTTCTATAGACCAGGCTGGCCTCAAACTCACAATGATCTGCCTGCCTCTGCCTCCTGACTGTGGGGTTAAAGGCGTGCGACATCACTACCCAGCTCTGTCAAGGAGTTTCTGAGTTGTGGAATTTTAATAAAAATGTGTCTTCCCCAAAGCTAAGTGAGAAGAGTGGGATTGCCAACCTTAGTGGCGAAACTTCAGTGGGTAGGAGACAGTTGAGAGGGCTGTTAAAATCGCACACTGTCTGGGGAGGGGGCCTTGCCGATCTACATAAATAAGTAGAAGCAAGGTAAAGGGATAATGTGAGAGGAACCAGGTCTCAGAATACTGAGCATTGGCTTGCATGGGGAATTTAAACTTAGACGGATAAACAGTGAATGTCAGCGTTAAAGTAGGGAGACCTTTCTATTTGAATTAAAAGAATAATATCTTTCTTAGCTGCATAAAGGATAAATTTGGAATTGACCTGCCGAGGGTCTGTATACAGCCTGCAGTGGGACTGGCTGCTGATTGATTGTTGTCCTGGAAACCTTGCCTCCCTTGTTGTTGACTCACTAGTTTGCTGTTAAGTAATGTGTAGGAGCCAAATGCCATTATTGCTCACCCCTCCCCAGCCACTTCCCATTTTAAAGAGTGGAAAATTTTTGTGTGTAAATGCTAATGATTATACAGATATTTAATTGGTCTCTACCATTTGGGAAGGCTATTAATACATGCTTGGTAAAAGCCGTGGGACCAAAGGGTTCTTCAGCAGTAATGGCCGACATTAAGTTTGGGGTAGAAGCAGGCACTCTGTGCATCTCGTAATTTTTCATGATTTAGTGGTGTAATTACTTCTAGTGCAAGTTTGTATATGGTCATTCTTTATGTGCACCACGTGCAATATATTATATTGATCAAAGAGAGATTACAGGCCATGAGAAGGACGAGGAAAATAACTGATCTGACCGCTGGCTGTGTTGCTCCAGGAAGAGAAGAATGTGTTGAAACGAATTCTCAGATGAACCAAGCGTACATAGTCCCAAGGAAAAGGCACTGTTGACCTGGGGCTTCCCTGGCGGTGTCTCTAGCTCAGCGTTTGCTTGCTTTGCTTTCCCCACCTGCATGGCCCTTGCGGCAGAGCTCAGACAGTAAAAAACTGTGGAGCGATCCAGATGTTCCCCGGGAGCTGGGACAAGGTTCCGTTCAGAAGCATCAACTTAGATACGGAGTTTCCTGGGTGACTTACCCCGGCGTACCCGCAGATGTTTTCCAACGTTTTTATACTTTTTATAAAACACCGTTTTATATCAACACACAGCCGTAGTCTTGTGTGAGAGAGAAAGTCTTCCCTAAGTGAAGCTAACTCAGGAGCTGGCTCTCTGGTCACAGAATGAGATGTAATTAATATTCTCCCCACAGGACACAGCTTGTGCTCTACAGTTGCAGTGGCTGGCTGACTTTCTTTCACACCTTTTAGTCCTTGTTGCTTTATCTCTTTGAATCTGTTGCTCACTTATTATATATAACCAGAGACACGCTTAACTCAGAATCATCCGGCACAAAGGGATCTGGTCCAAGGAGGAACATTATTCTTGATTCTTATGTAAGGTTAATCTGTTCTTAGATTTCATCTAAAGACAGGCAAATATAAGTTGCTTGGTTTTCTTGTGTATTTTGCCTTTTGGGGGTTGGATGGTTAGCCCAACAATGTCACATAATTCATAGAAATTGATGTCGTGAGAGGTGATTCTTTTTCTTGAATTTCCACTGATTAATACATCCAGTTTCTCCATTCTGTTACCAGACAGTCGGGTAGTGTGGGGCTCATATGTACTGACTGATGCTTTGGTGGCTCAAAAAGAAATTATTTCAGAATTGAGAGTATAACATTAAGATTAAAAATAACTTCAAAAATAGGGTATGCAATGATTTTTTTTTTAAGTATCTTAATCAGAGTGATTTTTTTTTTTTAAGCAGTATTTATCAACAGAAACACTG